AACTATATAGTATATATATAAGTATATATATATATAATATGCATATATATATATATATATATATATATATACATACATACATATAAATACATATATATATATAAATAAAAAATACAAATATACAAACATATATATATATGTATATCTATACTGGGATATACTGTTGTAGCTTTTTGTTGGAAGATTTGGCCACGGAATGCGCTAGTTATGAAGGTTTTGCTATGGACAGCGTATCGACACAGTCACCCTGGTGAAGCTGCAGCGTATCGACACAGTCACCCTGGTGGAGCTACAGCGTATCGACACAGTCACCCTGGTGGAGCTGGTGGTATTGGCATACGACCATAAATGTTGAAGTGCTTCAGTGACAACGACACATGAGGCCAAAACAAACATAAAGGTTAGAACAAACAAATATGTTCATGCTGGTTGGTGATTGTGAATGTAGTTAGCGAACGTCGAGTTCTCGTCTGCATTCGACATGGTCACATCCACGGACTCAGAATTGTCGCACTCAATGGCTGGTGATCTGTACGCGTGGGCGTCAAAGTGCGGAAGTGTTGCCAATCCCTTCGGATTTTGGAGCAGCCTTCCTGACTCGGGCAAAGAATCGGTCGACACAAGCCGATGATTTTTACTGCAAATAATAGGTAGGCGGAGTACAGAAGCTAGGTATCAATACATATACACTTAATCCACGCTTGAGAAAAGGAGAAATGACAGTTGACATGCAGGCCTAGAGCTTTTTTTTTCGTGCAGTTCGACTTCGAAAAAATCGGAGGACTATTAATGAGTGCCTAACCCATACATACCTGTGGACATCTTCAGGGAAATTGAGATTGCTCAGAAGACCCATCATTCCTTGCGACTTTAAACCTATATCCGCTTTCTCAGTCATTTGATACACATCCTCTCCAGATTCTGGTTGATGTTGGATTTCAGAGTGATCAACACTGCCCACCGTATCGCCATGTCCTTCTCCGTGGTCTGACTGAGCATCACCGGGTACTGCAGGCCCGCCGACACTCCCCGCACCACGGGGGGTCTGGGCAAACGATGTGGAATACTTCAGCCCCGAGTATGTGAAGGGAAGCGACTGGTTGGTCACTGCATCAAACAATTCCTGCTGCTGTTGCCCGAGTGGCTCCATAGAGGTGTCTACTGCCAGGTGTTCGATCGGTTGTGGGGTGGAGCAGTTGTTGTTGCCAAGGAGTGAGTCTTGGCTTCGGCCCTCGTTGTTCATATCGTTCGTATCCGAGTCTTTCACGATGCTTGCCGAGGCCGGAGCTGAGCTGTGTGAGGAGATATCATGCGTGAAGTCAAAGTTCTCCATATCGTGCGATACGTTCACGTCTATATCCACATCTACATCTACATCCGCCTCAAGCCCCTTACTCAGGAACTCCAAGTGTGGCAAGCCGTCCGACATTGCCGAAAGATCCATCTCACTCACAGTTGCCATCTGACCCCGTGCTACGCGTGTCTGGTGATCATGATCGCTCATCATCCTGGAACCGTTCCAGAGTTTGCCTACAGAGCTGCCGTGATTGTGGGCGGTGGCAACTCCTTGATCAATGTCTCCATGGTTCACATCCAAAGAGCCGAACAGCGCATATTGCGAACTGGGCAGTGATCCGTCGGTGTTGTGTCGGGCCAAGGTCTGCAGGTTATGGCCGCTATGGGACATGTCTAACGAACCCCCGGCTATAGCAGAAGCTGACCGGTGCAAATTCATTGCTGAACTGTCCGAGAACGAGAACGTTTGGTTGCCTCGTTTTGGGTCCTCCGGAGTCTCATCTGGGTTGAACCCAGCTCCGGTGGATGATGGCTGGCTGCCGTAGTGGTAGAAGTTGGTGTTCGCAGCTGCACTCGCTGGTGTTGTGGACACTGGTTCTATTGGTGTAGACGTCGGTTGTGGATGTGGATGTGTTTGTGACGAGATGTCGTTGAAGGACTGCAAACTGTCCACACTATCGCTTGCATACGAAAAACGGGCATAGTCTGTAGAGCTATTTGAAGCCTCGTTATGGAGTATATTGGCAGGGTAAGATGCCATTTGGGTCACCACGTCGTCGTTCCCGTCTTCATTAGGTCTCATACCGAATGACGAAGTGGAGTTGAAATGTCCCTCACTTGCCTGGATATCGTATGTACCGTGAACGGTTCCGCAGTGTTCCGCACTCGAGTGAGCCTTGCCCGGGATCTGAATAGGTGGTGTCGAACGAAACTTCTTTGCACTGTGTACATCATTGTTGTCGGATTCATGTACCTGAATAGCCGCATGAGCTCCCTCAGGAGACTGATGCAGATTCTCGGAGTCCATTCGTGCAGACGCAGGCGAAATCGGGACAGGTAGGGTAGCTCGCGGAGCGACATACAGATACCCCTGGCGCGATGCTATATTATTCTGCGGCCCATCTCGAGTTTGCTGCCGATCTTCTTCTGCTGTGGTATTATTCGCACCGGAATTTAAATCGAACGTGTTGCTGTTAATTTGGGTTTGCACATCAGTATTGTACTGCCGGTTATCAGTCTCTTGCGGTGTATACTCGTCGAGTGTGTCTAGGCTCTGCTTCGGGGTTTTGGTGCTTCTGCTTTCATCCAGAACTTCCATGTCTTCGAATAGCGACGCGACCGAACTTAAGGAGATGCTACGATTATCATTGTAGCCCGCCATCGACATGCTAGATGCGCCTACGGAGCTTGAGCGCTCGATCTGCAACTTTTCCGGGACACTCTGGCCCAGACTATCGCTGGACATGCACCGGTTTTGGAACTCCGGCTCGGAGTTACTATTAGTGGTACGGACTAGGCTATCATTTGCCGAACTCGTCGTCATCTGATTTGCGTCGTTGGGTTTGGTGTTGAGATTCCCTTTCTGTTTGTTCTTGGAGGCGTTGCGCGCAATACTGGTGCGTAACATCGTGTAATCGTTGTGCTTGATCTTCAAATGCTGCACCAGAGCCAGGGACGAGGCATACACACGGTCACAGTAGTTGTAGTGGCACTTGTGATTACGTACCAACTCAGAGAATGATCTACGTTTCCGAGGCATCTTGGGACACAATGATGCCTTTCTGTTGAGTATTTCCGGCTGTAATTGCCGGTGCCCTCCTGGTGAAACTAGAAAAGGTCCATCTACAGACCCCGGTGACATCAGAAAATGCCCCTCCACCTGTCTTAAAGGCATACTTGAACTCATGGAGAATGTGCGGGTGCGCCGTGTACCTCTACCAGGTGTAGACGAGGGGTGGGGGTGATGGCCATTTATAGTGGTGATCGGTATAACACTGCGATTGTGCTGATAATAAGGCATGTTCAAACTGCCTGAGCCTGGTCCATACCCCAGATTCATCTGTGAATGTGCCTTGGGCTCGGTCTTTATCTGTAGTGCTTGTGCATGTGTATGTGTGTGTATCTGTTCGTGTGGGAGCTGTGTGCTCGATGATGCCGAGTACGACGCTGATCGGAACATCTGATGCTGGCGTACTGCATGGTGGCTAGATGCTTGCGCGTGTGTGGGCTGGGCATGCGCAGGTGTGTGTGTGGGATGTACTGGTGTATGCGGATGTGCATGTCCGAGAAAATTCGACGCCGTAGAAGGTGCCCGTGGATGTATAGGCACGAAGTTCTCGATACTGGAGAATCGTTTGTACCTCACATCGTAGCAAGGTGCCTCTATGGGCCGGTGAGGACCACCATTGAATACCTCCCCCGAATGGCGTGCCAGTGGTGCATATGATGCATCTGCATTCCCAGTGTGCCCGGGTATACTATTCGCAGGGAACGAAGAATTAATTTGGCCATGATTCATCCGTATAGATGGATTGTATGCACTAAATGCGTCTCGCGGAGAGATGGCGATGTATGGTGTAGTGCTAGTGGCTTGTCTTTGACTTTGACCTGTGTCGTCATTGCTGGACATCATAATACCACCAAACGGTGTCAGACGGTATGCTGAGTATTAAAACATGATGGCTATAGCGCGTGGGCTCGGAAACGACTATATGCTTATCATTGAAAGCGCAACTAGGTAAATAGTGCCTCATGGGTAGTCCATCAATGAAGCACGTATAGGTAAAAATATGATATGCGGTACATGCCGTTTTGTTTGTTCACATTTGTTTGCTTCCATTGTGTCTGTTGCATTCTGAAACTGATTTTGTGATAACCATATTTTTTTCTTGAAATAACTCTCCGTTTTGATTGGTTCCTGATTGGCTACGATTGCTGAATCGAGTCTCTCCATTTCCAAAATGCTTTTTGGGTCATCTTTACTGTATTCAGTAATGAATTCTTAGTCTTTTATTTTAAAAAACAAAATGTGTTGAACTTGTTCGCTGGCGGGAACGACAAAGTCTAATATTAATATATTTAAAAAATGATACAAGATATGACAATAGAGGAGTAGAGTATAAACATTAAAAACTATTAACACATACCGATATTATTGCAATATGTGCACACATGTCTATATATATACATAAAAAATATTCCTCGGATTGATAGTAAAATATACATCAACGATGGCTGGCCATTTTCTCAGGTTTCGCGGCTTTCTGAAGAGCCTGGGACCAGGTATATCACATAGAAGGGCCTTCGCATAGATTTATGTTTCAAGTGGTACCAAATGTCTCTCGGCGCCAATATGGGTGTATAAGTCAGTGTAATATTCGCCTAAGTATGTATTTTTATCATCTAATCGATAAGTACATAGTAGGCGCTAGGTGCTGCACTTCAAAACAGCATATCGCGGTTCCAGTTAGGATACGAAAATTATAGTTCGAGTTTACAATATTCATATTCTGCAACGAGATTGTAAGAACGACCACACATAATCATCAAGCACCTGTATCAAACATGAACGCTATAAGCTCAGTATTTGCGCGATTGCGTTCCATTCGCAAGCACTTAATTTCGAGTGAAAACTATGTGAGATGGGCCCAATCAACAAAATGGTACTAACCCGTGCGTATAGCAATCACAAAGTGCTTGCGGAGCAATACGTTGAATACTCAACATACTACATATGCAAGTCGGAATCAGCACAGAAACTAGCTGGGTTTTTTTATGCTATAATACTTTCGAGTTGTACTGGACTGTATTTTTTTTCTCCTAAAATTGAGCTCGCAGAATATGGCTTAGTGACTGTATGCGATCATGGACATATAGATGCTCTCGCTACAACACTTCTACACTTTTGTGAACTATCATGGATGCTAATGTGTAGCAAGTCTTGCTCACCCACGTGTATTTGGTATATCTTATTTTTCCATGCAGGCGAGGCCGGCTTCGTGAACGCGTGTGTCGGGTAAGTAGCCAATTCCCATTCCAAATCAATAGCCAGCACTAAAGCTGATATCTAGATCCACTTGCTGTAGATAACATCTGTGCGGTGATTTCACTAATAATTGTCGAATATGCAGCTGGTCGTGTAAAAACGAAAATTCAATAACACATGCTTCTAATATTTATCGTCTCGACCCATTCACTTCCCTGCACCTCAACCAATTAGGCTGACCGCTTTCTCTCTGGCCTTCTATCGTTACCAGGTGTGTACCAGCTCCCCAGTTTTACTGTATCTTGCAAACATTATGTTAAGCGTATTTAAGCCTTACAAAATAGTATCTGCGAAATGAAATAAAAGCAATGCAATCTAAGATCTGCCTCTCGGATCTGGACTGGATATCCTTGTAGCTCGACATCCAGGAGCAAAGGGAACGTGATGCGGAACAAGATGCTGAGAGTACCTTCTATATTTGCCACAAGGTCAAACCAAGCGCGACTCTGCAAACCATGAAACGATACCGCGCTCGACTGCGAAATGAGGCAAAAGAACTTGGTGAGAACCGAAACATACTTATATCTCATTTTACGCCTGAAAATGTGTATGTCTCTATGCGCGTGTGTAAACGCTCGAATATAGCTACATATATACTAGTCCGTGTGCTTGTAGATGACCGATACAATACTAAAGATAGCGGGGTTTATTTTTGTGTCGGCCCTTGCTTCTGCAAAAACTGCACGGATAGTAATAAAATTGACATCTGCAATATAGCTGCATATTCAACGTTTGCAGTACATAACCGATGTATATCATCTCTAATTCCCAGGCCTAGAGCAGCCTATAAATCGTGACGAGCTAACTGATGAGTGGCTAAGAAGGAGAAATATAGGTGATCCCGAGGTATGCGTGGGTGTGCGCAGTAGAGCTCTGCAAAGTCTAGATGACCTTCAGCGGAGTTTTTTTGGCTTCAGACTACTTATTATGTCAAACATAAACAGATGTCCCATTCATAACTTGATATACAATGCAAATTTGAAACTCGGTATGTTATAAAATTGAATCTTAGTACCCCTGATACACTTCCTCGCACATCCTCGTTGAAAAAAAATCTCCCAATATTATATTTCATTGAGATAGGCGGAGAATATAAATATCCTGCGTCTAAGAATGAAGTCTCTCCTGCGGGCCTGCGTGAACTTTCTGACCCACCACCCTGAAAAGGTTCACTACATCACTGGCGATTCACAGGATAACCCGATCGGTGAGTGATACACTATATTGATACGGCGTACACATATGATTTTCATACCTTACCCGTCAATGCGATTCAATTTTTGCACGTTAGAATGTGCTGTTTACGGTTTAGATTGGCTGTCAATATTCTACTTTAAACTATACACCATATACAAGCGTAAGCTCACATGCTGGAACCAAGGGTTTTCTGGTCGAAGTTGCAATTCATATTAAAAACAGAAGTCGATTGATGTTTGAAGCGATTTGTAGAATTGTCTGCATGACCTGAGTATCTGCGTGTACAAACATGTAAAATTGATCGAACGTGTATGCAAGTATGTATAATTATCATGCCTTTTAATCGCAGGCTTCAATCCAATCACTGAGAATGAGATGCGGAAGATCCTTCTTTATGTAGAACCACTGGATCAGGCCTGCTGCAGGAACCATCCCACATGTAATTGGGCAAGGGATGCCCCGTTCGAGTATAACTCTTTGCGAGAAGTGTATAAAATACCACGGGATTGGCCCTCCACATATCAGGTATGTGTTTGTGACTTTAGGTACGAACAGCATTGCAATTCTGCAATTTACGTGGGCATTTTATCAGGATGCATACCTATACATGTAGAAAGATACCGCCTATGCATAACAATACGGGGCTTTGTGTGTATTCGAGAAATGAATAAGTATTCGAGCAAAATGGTCTTACGCGTGCAAACCGCAAACACAATTTCTAATACCATTACTGTGTTTCTAATAGAACCATAGCTAAGCAAAAGGCAACCTGCAACTAGCGCGAGAGGGTATTTCAAATCTCCAAATGAGCACCATCTCTATCGTTCTCGACACACCAAGCAATACCGTAAATGTCTCACACTCCCACTCACCCTCGCAGCTGTATACAAATTATCGCCTGCTCAGATCGATCACTACGATACATTAAAACAACAGACAGCCGCCATCTCTCGTTGCACTCACCAAGTTTAGGGCTGACAAACAACTGCATTCATGTACCGCTCACGCGTGATCACCACATTTTCAGAACGAAGATGATTTTGGAGCCAAGAGCACGCCGGAGGACGATACAAACTACATTCGGATTTCAGAAACCGTGCCATCCACAAGGGTCGCACAGAAATTCCATGAGTTGGAAACGAAAAGGCTAGAGATCGAGAGGTTGGAGCGAGAGGTCTCTATACTCGGACGGAAATGATACCTAGAGTAATTGCGTAATCGCGGGGAGTGATGTAGGGTGTTTACCCAGGCCGAGGTAGAGATCAGTGTAAGCTGAAGTTTGACCAATACTTGACGTAACACATACACATTTGAGATTGGCACTTACAATCGTGCTTCAGTTGTATGATTCAGTAGAGGTTCCGGGCGTATGCCGACAAAGCTTACTCTGAACCACTTCTGCTTCCATTGCTTTTTGTTCATTCTACCATATTCTCGAACACATTTAGTGGCGAGTAAATTTCGTTCTTGTTTCACGTTCCGAAGTTTTTATTCAGTCCGTTACAAAACTTAAAAACGGAGACACGTGATTTCTACTAAAATAAAAGTATACATGGTGCCAGACGCCGACGAATCGGGCAAAGTTCTCAATAGTACTCTCTCCTCGGATTATTCTGTTGAGATGTTATAAGTACATATAAAGTGAGAAGGTGGCCGATGGTTGCATGGTCGATGCATGACCTCAATGCGCGTCGGTGTTTGAGGCTGCACAGCCAGTTCACATCTAACACGAGCCCACTGGCAATGCTGACCACATCTTATCAAGCAGTGTGGATACGATCAAAATATATTTTGCGATTGAATGTTTGTTGTACCGTGCGGGATATCCATGATCATATTACACTCGAAAATATGCCACATTATCTTACCAAAGGATTCGGTCTGAATTTATACGCCAGCATCATTCGTTTCCTGTACAGTTCGAACTCGTCATCGCCTTGCTTGACCTACCGATAGTTGATAAATAAAATCGGATAAGTGCTGGGTGGAATGGAGTTACCAAGGCACACATGCGACCATGTAAATATAGAGATGAGGGGAAAGAATATCAACAAGGATGAAAGTGCCAACGAATGCAAGCGAAACACGGAGCAAAGCGCTCGATGTACATGATACAGAGCGTGTCGCAGACAACCAAAAAGATCAAGGAAGCCATATTTGGTTGATAACACAAGTATGGTGACGCAACAGCGAGAGAACCTCAAGGCGCAGCCGCCCAATATACTCTGTGTAACATAAATCACTAAGGGTATGTGTTCCGATCAACCCAGATTGTCTACGAAAGCATCCATCGCAATAACAAGTACAATGTAATCTCACTCACTGTGTCAGGTCATTCATCAGTACAACCTCGTCAGGAGACCAAATGACAAGCACAGTGAAGTCATCTACAAAAGCTGACACCATACAACAACACACCTCGCCCACTTTTCCCGAGCCCAATCCCATGCCGCCGGTGACCGCTGCACGCTTCACGGGGACTTTTATACCCTGATTTGCTGCACCTAATCCCAGGCCTTCCTCCCAGCCGCCTTGTTCGACCATATGATATCCGACATTGTCCTCCCCTATCTTGTGCTCTTGGTACTCACTGTCATCGTAGTCTGTATTGCCAGTTCGAATGGCCTCTGCTTTACGCATGAACTTTTCAAGTTCACCTTTCGGTAAGTAGTCCGCCATGTGCTTGGACCCGCTTTTCCTCGCTTCCGTCAGCTGTTTAGCACGCTCTATAAAGAGATACGACACAGATTAGTACCTAACGACGACAGGGAGAGGTCACTGGCCTAGCACTACAAGCAAGTGTACCAATCACCGACCAATCTAGTACATGGGTAAAGACAACGCCATCAACGCTTCAAACCGATCATTTTGATCGGAAGCTCTCATTCACAAAGAAGCAGCACAGCAGCACACAACTGAGCCAAAACGCCATTAAATCAATTCACGTCCTGCTCAGCCCTCTTATAAGCGACTACAAGGATACTCACCTGCTGTTTCCTGCATTTCTCGCGCCCTCTGCTGGTGAATCCAGGATGCATGTCTGAAGTTTTTCTCTTCCTGGCTCTCGTTATATGACCCTCCGAAGTCGGCACTGCTATTAGCATGTCCCCCGCCATAAGCCTACATCAGATTAAGCGTGTAAACAATAATATAGATTAGATAACCAGATGTCGCAACAGATCATCGAATTCTTGAAACAATCAGAGACAATAAACTCTTAGGGGTGGTTAAGATCTCAAATTCAACGGAGATCTAGGTGTTTTATATGTGTGTGTTTCTCCACGGGCATCCATCGTGATTGAGTGACTACTGGCATCATACACGAACACGACATCCAACCCCATATAGTGTACATGAGGGCAGCTCGGTGTGATATTGAACCTCCCACTCTGAATCATGTGTCATTAAACTCCGAGATTGATATACAGTACCTTCTTCGTGTGTGGCTGTGGCTGTGTGGGGTTTTGTGGCTGCGACTGTATCTGTGTACGGTGATGATTTTGATTCGGTGTACTGGCAGGTGCATCTCCCCATCTGCTCTTCCGTTTCCTTCGCGTGCCGTCGGCATTCTTGAGTACCCCTGTCGCTCCCTGAGCACTATCACTCTTGTGACTCCCTTGGGTATTCCCATTGTTTGTACTTGACTCTCCGCTGATGCTGCTGGCAACGGGCAGGGCTGGATAGAGCAGAAAGCATATCAAAAACATGTATCTATATCTATCCATGGGTATCTGGCCATTGTTCTGTGTCAGTATCATGCCTAATGTGGGGTCAATATATGAATTGTGCAGTATCTTTGATTCTATAAAAGACCAACTGTACTTGAAAATCCATCTAAACACGGGCGGCACCTGCTCTGCAATTGGGAACACACCATGTGTAGGTACATACACAAACGGTGCATGCACAAACAAGATACAGTGTTACCTCCAGGTCCCTTCAACCCCTATGACACCCTATATTTTTGGAAAAGCCATACCTACGCTAATAAAATAATGAACCCCACTGCTGCGCACACCCACTATACCCTCATCACAATCTTTTCTATACCCATGAAATTTATTCCACACTTACCGTTGGCGGTGTAGTCTGCCTGGCTATGAATCTCGATCCTCTCAATAAAGTAATTGTAGTATTGACTCTCCGTGTTGAGAAACCTGCAGTGGAGGAAGAAAAGCGTATGTTGACACGTAGTCCGTCGTGAGTTAAGATGACCATTCGGGTAGCCCTTTCCAAAGTGCAACACAAGACTCTCCATTGACACTTACCGTCAAAGTCACATACTGGCATCAACGCACCCTATGTACACCACTAGTTCAACTGATGCAATCAATCCCGCACGCCTTTCACGATATATGAATAAGCAGATTACTTACCCGTATGCCTCATCCCCTTCATGCTCATTTCGTAGTTTCACAATGTTGGTCTCATGACTGACAATATCCCTGACTGACGACTCGATCAGTGCTAGTGTTTTGGGGTCCGTAGGAGGTTTCGCTGGTTGGAATGGGTCGTGATACTGTGAAGAATAATGATTAGAAATTATATCAATTTCCGTTTTAGATAGAAGAGAATAGGACACATGGACAAGGTATTAGGACTTTTGGTATCCTATGGATGCTTGAAATCATGCGCAAGGGCACACGCTCTATTCGTACAATATGTCATACATGCTATCTACGCTGCAGCATCTCGGCAAAGTGACACAATAAGTCGACATATGCCTATAAGTGCTTAGCTAACTTGTATCTAATACTGATGCAAACACCATTTCAATCTATCTTCAGTCACCAGAAACAGACCGTGAAATAATCGTAAGTGTCTAAGTGAGTACGTGCGCGACGTAGAATATGCAGGCAGAATATGCAGGCAACAGAAAAAGAGTATCACAGCACTATACATGTTCAGATGTTGGACTCCACAGCTTGAAGTGGTAGCTCCCTTAGGATTTCCCCCTGATATACATACCCTTTAATTTCAAGTGCGGGAAACAGGTATTAAACAGTATGGAGCGGCAACTAGCCGATGATACACGGATTCAGAGATAATCTGCTAAGAGGCTTGATTGGTTAATTGATCACTATGTAGATTACCTGCTAAATCTAGCGATCTAGGTGAAACTGACCAAACATCACTTGCGCTGTATGTCCTGGCACACGTACATCCTGCTGAATATATTGGCTTTCAGTCTCGTATAAAATAAATAAAGTACATCGTATGATCTGGTGATTGCATCATGTACAGTGAAACGCTAATGAAGAAACGCGAGCAAACATCTATCGAATGCGCCCATTACACCTGCAATTGTGTGTTTACATTTGAAAGGTTATGTTATTGCATATATGTACTATGATGAATATTCGCAAAGAAACTCCTTTTAATACTATAGTTGTACTTCAGGAAGCCCTAAAACAGAATGAATCAAAAGATACCCCAGCCCTCGAGATACAACGAAGCAGCAGATACAGCAGATCTATATGAAAACTAGGTCACGATGAATACTGCGTCAATTGTAAGTTTTGAAACAAAGCTTAACGCACTCACCTGACTGTTTACTACCGGCCAATCCGTTCCCGCTACTTTTGCCGTATCCGCATATTCTGCAGTTGCTTGAGATTCACCACTTGCAACTACTATATTTGCCATACTTCCCATCTGTTGTTGTATCTGCGCTGCTGGTATGTGCGTATGCGTCTGGGAAGTATGTGGTTTGGAGTGTGCTTGTGTGTGAGAGAGTGGTGCCATTTGTGCTCGTTGCGATGTCTTCTCCGGAACAAGAGATTTTGAGGCGTTCTTCTGAAACATGGCCAGGAAGCTGCCATCGTTGGGTAACGCCATATTGGTGTTGCAAAGTGTCAGATAGCAGAAGCTGTTTTAGTACAGATATGTATGTTTATGTATATATATATATATATATGTGTGTGTGTGTGTGTGTGTGTGTGTGTGTGTGTGTGTGTGTGTGTGTGT